AAAGAAGATTACCAATCGGTTTTGTTATTTGATTTTCTTGTGGTAAAAATTTTCTTGCCTAAATAAAAAATAATTTGAATGAATGAAGAAGAACAAAAGAAAAAGGCCAACTGTTTTATAATTACCTCATTAATATTTGTTTCAAGTAAACGAGTAACATCTTGATTTTTTAATGTTTCTCGAGCTTTTTGCTCATTCAAACCGATTGATTGAAAGAGAGCAACACGTGTTTCATTTTCAGTGGATGCTGCCATATCTCAAAAAAAAAAATATATATACACATAAATTGTTTATTTATTTTTTTATCATTTAAATAGTTCAGATGTCGGCCCCTCCCACAACTACTCATAGCTGATGCAATGCACCTTTCGGCTTATGTCACTATTGACTAAAATGATAGAGAAAAGAAAGAACATGTTATCGACCATATAAGTAAATATCCAGATTCTCATGATGTAATAATCAGTACGCTTTAAGATGCGATATACTATAAAATCAAGTCAGGAAAAGAAGATTTATCTTCATTACAAATTAAATCATTTTTTTTCAATATATCTGAAAGTTTAAAAAAAATATTTTTTATCATATGAATGCACTGCACATGTTCTATTCAGAATTCAAAAGCAATTATGAAGTTTTTTCAAGATTAGAAAAAAAAATACAAATAATATATAAACAAAAGTTATCAGACAAAAAAAACAAAACAAAATTTGTCACACGAAATATCACAAAAACAAAGAAAGACAAAATATAATTAAATTATATTAATGAATTGAAGACTATGCATAATGTTTTCGTTTATTATTATTATTACGTTTTTCAACACGTCGTCGATGATCACTTAAATATCGATCTAATTTATTCAATGTTTGTCGTTCTTCATCTATTAAAAGATTTATCTCTTGTTCAATATATGTTCGATTTTCAGCAAATTTCGATCTATATTCATCTCTAATTTGATCAAGTTCATTTTGACATTGTTCAACAAAATTTAATAGATTATTGGATGGTATTGGTCTAATTGGTTTTGTATCTGTATCAACACTTGTAAATTGATATAGAAGATCAGTATGATTGCTAGTTGTAGTAGCAGAAGGAAGTGATGATGATGGAACAGATAATTGATCAATAGAAGGAGCATGATCAATAATAGTTCGTGGTGGTGATGCCCAACCGGCTTCTACCTTTCTATTCGCGTAAGAAAAAGAGAGAATAGTTAATAAGTTTTGAGGCTATACAAAGTGTGCGATCAATAGTACTACAATAAAATTTTGAAATATCTGTTTCGATTTGCTCGAATATGTTCAGTGATAGAAGCTTGTTTAAAGGTTTCTGTTACAGATGGATAACATAAACAAATACTACTATGCAGTTTTAGTTTTCACTTCACTAAAGAAATTTCATCCTATGATCAAGTAAGAAAAATACATATGCAGCGTTTCATGGATCATGTTCTGTTATCATCTAATGAGAAAAGGTCTTCACTGATTCATGTCGTTTTCAATTATATTTTGTTCATATGCTGAGAATATCATTCTAAGACAGATTGAACTAATGAAAGTTCCTTCGAAGGTTATGACCATTTTACTGATTTTTTTTTCATCTAGTACAAGATATTAACACATGAATAAAATATTAATGGACATAGTGCAAATCACATGGAGATCTTCCCTCGTAGGAGAACAAGAAGCCCAAGCGAATCAATTTAAATACTGAAATTTCTGCTCAATAAGTGAAAAGCACTATTACAGCCCTTTGGGCACTAACTTTCTCACAAAACCTAGTGTTCCATGTTTCAAAATTTAAAATTTTTTATCGTTAACTTTTAAATTAATTAACACTGAAAATTTGCTCCAAATGCATCAACATAATATCTTTCATAAAATTCCACTTGATTACATAGCTGAACAGGTACGAATTTTCTCGACCCAGTTCCGTTTGATGTCTTCTTACTATCCTCTCAGATGGCAACTGAAAATTATCTACAAAACGCTTTATATGTAATTCCGTATTTCATATTAGGTGAAATTGATTTTTTGACACCAACTATAATACTTGATACTGTGTTTTGGTTGCCGGTTCTGTATGGAAAAAAAAAACCTTGAAATAAACTTCTATCACTAACCAAGAAAACCAGTCCATTTAATTGAGCAGAAGTGTAGATATTTCATTTTTTTAACCGTAGTGCTATTTATAGCCAATCTTGTACGAAAATTTTTTTTAGCTATGATTTTTTTAAAATCGATAAAATATTCATATAATAGGTATTAAATGATCATTGAGTGTACGAGTTTTTTCATTTGATATTGAAGTTCTTCTATTCCTTAATAAAAATCATCGAGTAAAACTTACTCAGGAGAAGGAATAGATATTGGTTCCGTCACAACAGACGGTGGTAGAAGATTTAAAAATGAAAGTAATTGTTGTTGAATATTTTCTTGATGAGTTGATGGTAATATGAACAGAGGTGATTGATTTTGTGCTTGTAGCAGATTAACACTAGGTTCTGACACTGATGTTTGTGTCAGGACTGTTGATTTTACTTCAGTATCATCATCATAATTATCAACGTCATCATCACTATCGTCCTTATTATTAAAAGAAGATAATAATGAAGTAAGATGACGAGATGCTTTTTTTAGTGAAAGATTAGTTCCTTGTAAACGTATATTAGGTGTATCAAGAATTTTTCTAACAGTTCTTTTGTCATTCAATTCAATAATAGCACATGTTGGATCATTTAAAAGAATATGGCAAGCAATAACCGGAGCACGTTTATGAAAATAATCACTAGAATAAATGAATAGATATATAAAGAAAATTTTTTATTTTGTTTCTTCGTCTTACATACATTAACATTGTTTCAGTTATTTTATTTGTTAATCCATGAATATGTATTTGATTTTCTTTATTTTTCGTAGATATTATTTTATTTACAAATTCTTTTGGATGTAAAGGTCTATAAATAGAAAAATTTCTATGTTCAGTTGTTATTGGTATTGTTTGTTTTTCAAATATTGTTGTAACAGATTGTCGATTATTTAACTCAAATAATAAGTATACTTGTTTATCTTGTTGTGATAAACAATGACGTAATGCTGCATCTATTTTTTTATAAAATTCTATAATTATATGTATATCATTTGAATTTAATATTGGTCCAATAAAAAATTTACGATCAATATTTAATATAGCATTATTGGTTAATATAGTTTTATATAATTTTACATCAAGTAATATTGTATTAATTTCATGAATTTTTTCATTGAGAAATCTTTCTAATTGTTCATACTTAGCATATTCAATAATATGAAAATCACAAAATTTTTCTTTTTCGAATGATGATGAAACAATTGTACCAAAACGAGAACAATATGCTAATAATGTTCTATCATCAAGTGCACTTGTATTACCAATATAAACACATAATGACAAATTTTTAAACGAAGTTATATTTAAAGTTGATGCCATTAAAAAATATAAATTAAAATATAATAAAACTACGAAGACATCATTTCATGTATTTGGAATGGACAATGGAGTATTTTCCTCTGTTACAACGTTATTGGACAAACTATATTACCATAAACCACGACATGAGTAGAGGTCGCTCTTTGTAGACAGATTAGTCCAATCTATAATAGCTCATTTGATGATATATAATTATCTGTAGAATACAAATCTTTTTCTACATATACGAGTTTTATTCAGTTAGTGCTCGAAATAACTTTTTAATACTATGAATAAGTTCGAAATGTTTAGCATTGTAATACATTTACTTAGGAATGTTATTCTTCTTAGATGCTAATTCAGTAGAGATAAGCGAGATTAGTCATATTTGAATTTCGTGCCTCTTCTATTCTTATTGAGTGATACTTTTGCATTTCATTGTACGGGAAAAAAGACGAATCGTTTCGGATGAAATCTTAATTAAGACGAATGTTTATTTTAAATTTTCATTGCAAATACTTATTCGATAAATAAAGAAAAACATATAATGATACAATAATGTGTATAAATTAGTCTTCGAAAAGTCTGCAACCAGGCAAAAAGTACCTAAATTTGAATATTTTCGTCGGATGTCTTTACTAGAAATAGAGTTCAGTAAACTCTGATTGCAAGCACTAACACGAGATCAATTGGTCTTAATGTATTGGCTTTAGAATGAAAACACTGTAGTTTTTCTGGTACCTCAAAAGATGGCTTTTTTGAACATTTTTTGGTTCTTCGTTATTTTTTGAAGCATTAGTATCCATATTTCTTAATTGTATCACCAATAAAAGACTTCGATCTGTAGTGATATCAGAGAATACTGGATTAGAACCGATAACTCACTAGAGGCTATGTCAAGGTGAACGTTTCATAAACCAGACTAACTATAATTGTTTGATATGAAAATTTTATTAATAATAGAGACATTATTGACCTATTGTTCAGTTCTAACTCCTTTCAATGAAGATTGATCAAATCCTGATCGCCACTTGTAATGAGGATTGATTGCACTCTAATTGTGGCCAAAGTATGAGATCAAAGCATTCACTTCTAAATCTTTGCTATCTGGTAGCGAAGTTATTGACAACTACTATATATGGAAAAAAAAATATTTCGATATCAAAAGAAAACGATTTCGAAGAATAAAACTAATTTAAGAGAGTAGTTTTATAGTTTCTTCATGATTTTTTTTGTTGTTGGCAGATGATGAACTAAATCGAATGACATTAAATTTTTTATGTGTATCTCGTAAGCGATAAATAATCCTAAACAAAAGCAAAGAAACACAGATAAATTAATACTTTGATGATGAATAAATCGAGTTGAAAAATCTTACAAAAATGTGGTGGTTAAAAAGACGACGAAGCTCATTATAAAGAATATAATTATTGTAACCTTCTCAACTTTAATATTATCACAATTGGTATTTATTAGTTCTTTAAAATTTTTATAAAAATTATATTGTTTATTTTCCAATAGTCTGTTTATGTTCAATTTTCGTTTAATCTTTACAAAAATAAATTAATTAAATATTGAATAGTGAAAAATTTTTTTTTAACCTCATTGGATGTTTGTGAATTATTGAATTTTTCAATAATATTTGTACGTTCAGCAATTCGTTTTAGAAGCATACGAATTATTAATGGTAAAAGTAAAATTCGAGTCTTTTTCTGTAAATTTTGGATTTGTCCATTGTTAAAACGATCAGAATCTTCATTCGATAACAAGAAAATTTTTTGATTGTTTGCTATTGGTAAGTTTTTATCAATCAACTTTCGTAGTTCTTTATTTTCATCATCATCAGAACGACGTATACCAAAAGCAATCATACGTACAATAATATTAAAAGATTCTTTGTATGTTTCATTTTCTTTGATGACTGTTAATGTCGACAAAATATGTTCATGAGGTTTTTTTGAAATGTTTTTCGATGAAATATCATAATTATTACTGTGAACAGATCGATAAAGATTAGTAGATAAAATTATCAGTAAGATTTCATGAAAAATCAAAAAATACATAGCATTAGAAGTTTATGTTCAAGTAAATAGAAATAAATAAGAAAATATGTTGAATAAAGTATAGAACTATTGAACAAAATTCATTGTTAGGATTTTATTTTCATCTTTCAAATAAAGGCGCGTATAAGTATTCTATCAAATTATATATAGTAAAAACTGTTTGATGATTTTTGTTATGTAAGTTACATTTATGACTAGATGCCATTCGAGTTTCACTCGATTGTAAAATGCAATGTGAAGTTTCCTATGTCAATTGACGTATAAACTGATATTGTCTAAAAAATGAATAGCTGTTGAATAATTGAATATGAAACACTTTTCTCCAAAAGATAATGACGCTATATTAGAACTAGAATTTTTTTTATCGCTGTAAATCGGGAAAGTTAGGTTTCTAACAATCAGATTCTCGAAGGCACAAAGAGAATGTGAAGTAGCCGTTGCGAAATTTATTATTAATAGAACTCTGTTAACAGATATAAACATGATTTTGAAGAATATTTTCTATTGTCAGCTATATGGACTGTTAGTATAATTATGAAGAAAGAGAATGGCAGCCAGATATTGTTGCTGTCTCCATTTGATAACTGTGTCTAGAGAGCGCGAGAGAGAAAGGAAACTTGGTTTTTAAGATCTATCACAAAAAGATTTTCTCTAAAATATATTTACGCTGTACTCGAATTAGACTTCTATTGTCACGATAAATCGGAAAATTTATATTTCGATCATTCAACTGTTGATCGAAGCATATAAGGAATTGAACAACATCCAATCAGACGAGACTCTTAAAATAGCCCGTTAGAATTTCATTGAAACGGCGTTTTATCATGTTCAATGGAATTCGAAAAGTTACATAACTGTTTTTCTTTCTGAATTTTAGGGTATATGCTCATGATAATGATTGTGGTGGAAGTAATCCATCAGATGAAGCTGTTGATTGTGGTAAATGACTTTTATGTTTTACACATATCTGTTGAATAAAAAAAATATTATTTTAGTTCCTCGACCATGTGTGAATGAATACTTTGAATGTTCAACTAGTCATTGTATAAGTAATACAAGTCGTTGTGATGGTTATGCTCAATGGCAGGATAGTTCTAATAAAGCAGACTGTCCATCAGGTTCTGAAGGTTGACATGGTGTCCAATAGATCGTTTTGTAATAATACTCGTTGTATTAATAAGAACTGGGTTTGCGATAAAAGTAGCATGTTTTATCGATATTTTTTGTTCTATTAAATTAAAATAAAACGCTTTGGTTTCAGATAATGATTGTCTTGATAATAGGTAATCAATAAAAAATAAAAAGAATATTAACATATTTCATGTTTCCATCTTTTTTGTTTACTAATGAAACAATTGAATTATGCAAAACAGTGCCTTGTAATTCAACCAATCGTTTTCAGTATTAGATTTTTTTCTTTTTATTTTTGCAGATAAAAAACATTTTCTGTGAGAAACGATTTAAAAGAAGTATCGAGGTATATTAATAAAAATTTGGACCTACTCCACAGATTATATATCAATAATGTCTCATTAAAGATGTTTCACCTCCTGATTAATTTGTTACAACTTAATTTTTTTCAGATTCGACTCACTCCTAATTAGGTCCTAGTTTGCCAACTAAGGTGTAAATCTTGGTTTGGATGAAAAGAAGGTCTACTGTCATTCCTGTAGCCGCCATCGAGCGCAGATCTTGGTTTCATGCCTAACAATTTATTAAAAACTCAAGGAGTTCAGCAATCTCTAGTTTTATTCAGCATTCGTAAAACGAAGCGTGCCAAATAGCTGGCAATAAGAATAGCGAACATAACGGTTAATAAAAGATCATGAAGGCATGTGTCACAAAATAGGCAGAATAAAACAATCTTCATGTGATTACTCACGACAGCGACATCGTGTGCTATGTGTTAATTCTGAAGAGTTGTGCTAATCATTTTTTATTTCAAGATATACGAATGGTCGATGTATCGATCAACAGCGTGTATGCAGGGACATGAATAAGGTGGGAGGCGTTACCCCTCCCCCTGCTTTTGAAATTCTCTATGACAACGCCCCTCTAGCTTTAAAAATTGTTTATGTATTGCGCCCCCTCTCTCCATGCTTGCGAAATTTTTGTTATTTTTACTAGCAAAAGGGCGACAATAGATATGAAGTAGAGGTTTACTAACTCTTTGCCAAAAAGTACTGGGTAAAAATGTCTTTATCGAACAAGATATAAAGTGAAAAAAAAAATTTTACTTCACGAAAAAGTGATAACTTTACAATTACAACCGATCCAAGAAGACTGATATATCATTTAAGCAATTTCTTATTACATTTTTTATGCCCAAAGAGTTTTATTTTTTAAATGACCACGAGCGCGGTCGCCTTCGTCCGCAATAACTTTTACACAAACGTCAACGGTTTCATTCAACGACGATTTAGTTTTTAGAACGGAACAACATTGAAACAGATTTTTCACCTGCCGACAAGGAAATTTCGCTTGCATAAATAGTATCAATTGCATCAAATGTAACCGTATTTTGAAGGCTTAAAACTTATTTCTAGGAAGTTTTCATTAATGCTACATTCTATAAAGTATCATTTCAATCAATAGTTGCTAACATGCACGTCTTCGGCGTTAGACATACCTGGAAACGTTTTTGACTCCATACGATGACGGTTTCCTTCCTCTCAACGAAGAAAGGTAAAAAGAAAAAAAACTTCTTATCACATTATAAGATGCTTCTATGTCGAAAGTATTTTTTGTAATATATCGAGCAAAAAAAGATTGCAGTGCTGAAAAGATGTAGATGGGTCTCTCAATCCGTATTAACTCGGAACAACCGTGTATTCCTTTTCAACTCATTCATTTTTCTATCACTATCTCTTTGTATGCGTTTTTCTGATTTTTAATCAATGCTTCTTTTCTACTCTAGTATTTACTGAAATGTATTGTCTATACAAAAAAGAATAGCAAACAATTAGAAATTTATTTTTATAAACACACACTATCTCAGTCAAAAATTTTTTGACAACTTCACCAGAAAAACAATTCAAAGGATCACGCCACCATTACTACGCCCTCCTCTGCCTTCAATGGTGACTTACGCTCCTCGTGGGAACTGTTTTTTTGACATAATGAAAACGACTTTCAACAGCAACAATGATTAGATCGAATGTTGCTATCATCACTGATACCTTCAACTCGAAAGTTTATAATTTCACAAACAAGAAGACTAGTTTGAGTTTCCGAGTGAATATACATAATGAACTAATTTTGAAACTAGATATAATTTATAATAATATAATCCAGTAACCATGGAAAAATATCATAGACCTTGTGTCGTGTTTTTTAAAACAGATCAGTGATGCTAGTTTCATTTAGTTGTTCATTAAGAATAGTCTGTGAACGTTAATGCAAAAAATACTTTTTGAATTCTATATTAGTATTGATTGGATTTTCATCTAAAAAAAATTCTTTATAGCAGTAGCAACCTTTTAACTATATTTTCATCAACTTCATATGTGATGGTAAACTATCACTTGAACAGAAAAGTCTACTGAAACTAGAATTCGCCATACCATACATTTTCAAATAGCAATGTATATTTATATCTTTCTGTGCACAAATGCATTTATGGCAACATACGGAGAAGAAGAGAGAGAACTTTTAAATATTATAAAAAGAAAGTGAAATGTGATATAGCGTATAAGATTATGTCCCAATGAATCATTTTTTTTCACACCTTTGTCTTGTGACACAATAGGCAACCATAGATAAAAAAGAGGAGTGAAGCAATCAAGTGAAACGAAAGTAGAAAAGCAACTCGAAAGATACCAACAATCGAAGATACGTAGACGTATCTAGAAAAAAATATTCAACATACGATAAAATTCAAGTTATTCTATTCGTTTTCACTGATTACACCTCACGCACACTATGGACAAAAAGAAAAATCCCATAACAACAACTGCCACTGTTGCTACGCTGCCAGAACCTATGACTATACAGTCACGACGATCTTCTCCTACTCGTATGGTTCAAAACTTTTTACTCGTCTGGCTCGACAGCAGCATCGATTTAGAAAACAGCAAGAAATGCAAACACACGATTTCAAAATTAAAACAAGTCGTCCACATGGTCAATACTTTCACGGATGTCAATGAGTGTATCAATTTTATTAGTAATCTCAAACAAGACAAACTATTTATGATCGTCTCTGATGCACTTGGACAAACAACAGTTCCCATCATACATCATATGTCTCAGGTCAATATAATTTATATTTTTTATGAGAATCAAGCTTGGTCTGAACAATGGACCAAAGAGTGGCCAAAAATAAAAGGTATCTTTACAGATATTGTTCCGATGTGTGAAGTTCTTCAACAAGCGGCAAAACAATGTGATCGAAACATGACATCGATCAGTTTTGTCACCATTGATAGCGGATCTACAAAACAAAATCTCAATCAATTAGATTCTTCATTTATGTACACACAAATAATGAAGGAAATTTTATTAACTATCGATTTCAACCAACATCATATAGATAAATTTCTTACATGCTGTCGAGACGTGTTTGCCGATAATTTGTATGAACTTCAATACGTCAACAAAATCGAACAGGAATATCTTAACCATCTTCCGATTTGGTGGTATACCAGTCCATGTTTTTTGTATTCGATGCTGAATCGATCATTAAGAACGATGGAGTTCGAGCTTATCATAACTATAGGGTTTTTTATTCGTGATCTCCACAAGCACATTGTCGAGCTTCATAAGGAACAATATGCTGAAAATACACATTTAAAACCGTTTACTGTCTTTCGTGGTCAAGGACTGACGAAGGCCGACTTTGATCGAATGATCAAGACACAAGGTGGACTTTTATCATTTAATAATTTTTTATCCACTAGTCTTCATCGAGAAGTGTCTCTTGTCTTTGCTGAGAGTAACCAAAGTGATCCCGATCTGATACGTGTTCTCTTTGCAATAACTATCAATCCAACAACATCTAATACTACTTTTGCAAATATCCAGGAAGTCAGCTATTTCAAAGTAGAAGAAGAAATTCTTTTCTCCATGCATTCTATTTTTCGTATTGGATTAATGAAACAAATCAATGAAAATATTCATCTTTGGCAAGTCGATTTGACATTGACCAGTGATAACGATCCAGACCTCATTACACTAAATGAACAAATGCGCGAAGAGACATACCCTGAGAAAAAAGGATGGGATCGTTTGGGTAATATACTGATTGAACTTGAGCAGTTCAACAAAGCCCAAGAGATATATGATATCCTGCTCGATCAAACAGAGACTGACTCAGAAAAAGCATCAGTTTGTCGTATGCTCGGCATGATAAAACGTTATCAAGGTGAATATGAAGATGCCATTGTCTATTATGAAACATCAAATAAAATCTATCAGGAGATTCTCTCACGAACTGATTCCTGTTTCACTACTTCTTACCACAACATTGCTTTTGTGCATGACAACATGGGCAACTATTCATATGCACTTTCGCCTCATGAAAAACCACCCGGAATCTACCAAAAACCGCTTCCTTCAAATCTTCCTGATTTAGCTACTTCTTACAACAACATTGGTTTGGTGTATCACAGCATGGATGACTATTTAAATGCACTTTCATACTATCAAAAAGCACTGGAAATTCGCCAAAGAACTCTTTCTTCAAATCATCCTGATTTGGCTACTTTTTACAGCAACATCGGTACGGTATCTGACGATATGGGTGACTATTCGAATGCACTTTCTTCTCATCAAAAAGCATTGGAAATTTACCAAAAAACTATTCCTTCAAATCATCCTCATTTGGCTACTTGTTATAACAACATTGGTTATGTGTACAGCAAGATGGGTGACCATTCCAATGCGCTTTTATGTCATCGAAAAGCACTGGAAATTAACCAGCATACTCTTTCTACGAATCATCCTGATTTAGCTCAATCTTATAGCAACATTGGTACAGTATATAACGATATGGGTGACTATTCGAATGCACTTTCTTCTCACCAAAAAGCATTGGAAATTTACCAAAAAACTATTCCTTCAAATCATCCTCATTTGGCTACTTGTTATAACAACATTGGTTATGTGTATAACAAGATGGGTGACCATTCCAAT